TTGCTCACCAGCTTTGCTCACTGACTCTGATACTGATTTCCTGAGATGCTAAAGGGGGCATAACATTCTCATGTCTCTGTTTCTAAAGTAGGCATACCGCCCAGAGTCTGAAGGACCTTAGGACTACTTTATAGAAGCTTTCAGAAATCCTTGGAGATTTAAATGAGATTAGCAGCCCACACCTCCCCAGCTTGCAGGAGCAGGGAGGCTCTAATGCAACTGCAGGCCAGATCCCATCTCCCCGCTGGCTGGGTACTTTGGAATGAGATACTGGCAGTGGCAAAAGCAAGCAACAGAAGGGTCTTGCCTCTCCTGCTCTCTCCTCGTTCCTCTCTTGAGGCCCTAGGAAGACATCCTCACCTCATGAGGCTGCTGGGAGATGTAAGGAGATGATTTGTCTTTTTTCCTTCTTAAAGATTTTATTTGAGACAGAGACAGTGTGCAAGTTGGGAAGGGAGAAGCAGACTCCCTGCTCAGCAGGGAGCCCACATGGGACTCGATTCTAGGACTCTGAGATCATGACCTAAGCCAAAGGCAGACGCTTAACCGACTGAGCCACCCAGGTGCCCTGGAGATGGTCTTTCTCAAAGTGCCTTCCATGTAGCCTGGCTTGGAGCACACAGCCCTTACGATGAACTGCCACCAGGAAATGGTTGTGTACTCACTGGTGAGGTGACTACACATCTCTCTACTCACAAACTAGTTAATGCTTAACAAACCAGGCTAATCTTTTTATTCTCAGAAAAATTATGATCACCCTATCAACCAAGGCCTCAAAACCTGGTTTATTCTGCTATCTTGACCACCAGAACAAAGCACTCCTAAGCACCCACAGGGTTCAGTGGATGAAAAGATGGCTCCCAGCTGATGTACGACAATGCCTCCAACCCCAGAGTGGCCACAGCCCCTGGCTGGCACCACTTTCCCAGGCCTTGCACAAGCCCAGAAACGTCGTGACTTATGTATGTGTAAGCACATCCTGCCCAAGCCCAGGTCAGAGGGTCACAGAGAAGCCCAGCCCCAGCTGGATCTCTTGGCAGAATAACCCTCACAGTACTTTATACTGGATCAGTTTACTCGTTTGGTGGTATCTAACCCCTCCTCCTCTCCTCATCTTCGCTAGTGACCAGGTTATCCTGAGGGCCAGACTGAAGTGAGTTATGAGCCTGGCAGAGACAGATAACACAGGCACAGGTATCTCCCTCGGCACCCTGCAGTCAACACAGTGATGTTGGAAAAAGACCTTTCGTCTCCTATAAAATGACTATTTTACAGCTGAGGGAAACTGGTTCTCGAGAAGACACCATAAGCAAGCAAGCTTGAAAGAGGGTATCTGAGTAGGTATGGACAATTAAGAGCTCAAACTCGAAAATCCCAATTATTTCAGTGATTCCTGCCATGTCACAAGCTTGCAGGAGCCTCAGTGGCCTCATCTGTAAAGTGGAAGAGTCAAACTCCACTACTCATAACTCACGTGCATTCTGAAAATTAAAAAGTAAAAATAAAAAATTAGAAAAGGTTATTTAATTGCAGAAGCCCAGATACCTGGTAGGATCTAAAGAAACCTCAGTAAGTTCTTGCTGTTCACAAACACATTAAAACTACAAACACTGGGCAGCTCCGGTGGCTCAGCGGTCTGGTGCCGCCTTCAGCCCAGGACGTGATCCTGGAGACCCAGGATTGAGTCCTGCGTCAGGCTCCCTGCATGGAGCCTGCTTCTCCCTCTGTGTGTCTGCCTCGCTCTCTCTGTGTCTCTCAAGAATAAATAAATCTTTAAAACAAAACAAAAACTATAAACACTGCGATCAACGACAAAAATACAAATCCTCACTAATCAATGACTTCTGAGAGCAAAGAATGACTTGAATTCCCGGTCCTAAAAATTCAAGCAGCAACACCATTTCAAACGTATCAGGTTGCTAAAAATCAAAATCTGATAATATCTAATGGTGGTGGGATCCCTGGGTGGTGCGGCGGTTTGGCGCCTGCCTTTGACCCAGGGCACGATCCTGGAGACCCGGGATCGAATCCCACGTCGGGCTCCCGGTGCATGGAGCCTGCTTCTCCCTCTGCCTGTGTCTCTGCCTCTCTCTCTCAATCTGTGACTATCATAAATAAATAAAAATTAAAAAAAAAAAAAGACCATTTAAAAAAAAAATATCTAATGGTGGTAAATGAGGAACAGGTACCCTCAAGCACTGCTGGTAGTACATATTGGTAAAACTTCACTGGACAGCATTCTGTAAGTATCTAGCAAAACAGAAGATGCACATGTCTTATGACCCAGCAACTAACTGGACTTCTGCTTTTGCCCTGGAGAAACACTCAGGGGTGCCTGAGAGATATAAGGATTTACTGCAGCGCTGCCACGATCAGTGAGAAAGTAAAAACCACCTGTCTCTCTGTAAATACTCTATGTTTGGGATGAATGAACGAACAAGACCTTCGTGTATCAACATAAATAATAAAGCTCATGAACAGGCAATGGAAAAAGATACAACCAGCACAATTACAGTTAATAAATTTTAACAGCATTGTTCATGGATTGATACAAAAGTATTAAAAGCACAAAAAAGAAAGACAGGGTGGGGCACCTGCAGTGGCTCAGTGGTTGAGTGTCTGCCTTCGTCCCGGGTTGTGATCCTGGGGTCCTGGACTCAAGTGCCGCACTGGGCTCCCTGTAGGGAGCCTGCTTCTCCCTCTGCCTCTCTGTCTCTCTCATGAATAAATAAATAAAATCTTAAAAAAAAAAAAGACTCAGGATTTATTGCACACACACCCTTTCTTAGGCAGCTTCTGGAGTGTGCTCGGAGCTGAAACGAAGAGGTGATGATATGGGATGGGGTATAAACACTGCTGACTGCCGCCCAGCGTCCACTGAGTACAGTACACAGCTGCACATGCCCCCACTACATTCATCTACTTGTCAACCCCCACCCCTCTCTGCATGTGAAGCTGAACCATATGAAAAGTACCTGATCGCCACCCTTCTTGATCTAGAAAAATTCCCATATATCATCTTAACATTTTCCTTGTGTCAAACTATCTAAAAAGGGCTGCAGACGTTGAGCCTTTGCTCCGAAATAGTCCAGTCCTTCCCTCCCGAAAAAGAGGATATCCCACACAATCACGAGGCCTTACCACATTTAAGAAAATCACCCAATGGACACTTTCTGACTCCCCTGATTGTGCTCTCCCTTGCTTCCCAGCCCAACATAGATACAAAACATCTCTTACCCCTAAAATGTGTGCCATCTTGCTACCCCAACTCCCAGGTCCTCTAATGGAGGAAAAGAAAGGACCAGTCTCTGAGAAAGGCCTCAGATCAAGCTGCTGAATCAGCAGCACCTGGGCAGGTTTATCCTGAGGCTAAAGGGCTCCCACCCTCACCACCTGACCAGTCGGGAAACCAGCAGGGGAGTTAGTGGAGCCAGGGCTGGGCTGGCTTGCAAAGCCCCCAGATAAGGAATCTACATCCTTCCACTGCTGAGTGGCAATAACCCAGCTCTGGGACAGATGCCTAAAAAGATTTGAGGGGAAGCTTTCTCCAGAGCACCTTCAAAACTCTCTCTTTGGGAAAAACCACACAGGGTGTGTGGGGGGATGCAGCTCAGCCCCTTCCTATATAAAGCTCAAGGGCTCTAGGTCACTATCACCAGTGCCAACAGGAAATAAGTCTCAGGGCGCCTGGCTGGCTCAGTCAGTAAAGCATGTGACTCTTGATCCCAGCATCCTGAGTTCAAACCCCACGTTGGGCACAGAGCCTACTTTACAACAAAACAAAACAACTCTCCCATTATTTAAGGATGTTACGGAAGAAAAGCAGCCCCTACCAAACCAGACAGCCTCCTAAGCCTCTTCACTTTCCTATCATTCTCGAACTATAGAGTCAACTAGATAAATGCATCCCAGCTGCATTTCTGTCCGATGGATGCACCGAGGATCAGTTTTTTCTAAGGTAACTAAAGATGCTAGCTGTCCATTTGAACCCCGCCAGCTCCGCCTCCCACCGGGTGTGAAGGACTGGCAGAGGGATGCCGGCGGGGTCCAGGTGCCTGAGGAAGAGAATGACTTAGGCCCACAAAGGGGCAAATCCATTTCACATCTAATTGGATGGTCTGCTGAGCCCGCCAGACTGTTACCCCTAAATGCTCCCCATATGCTCCCTTCCGCAGGCCTCCAGGGTCATTAACTGAAGGAAGAGCTGAGGCCTCAGGGTCTCTGCCCTGCTTTCCCGTCTCCCAAACAACCCGGGCCTATGTAAGGCTCAGCTAAGAAGTAAGGAGTGGCATCTTCCCCTTCCACCCCAGCCTCCCGGGGAGGAGAATTGGGGCTTCCAATACCTAGACTCCTAACCACTGCTCAATTTCTCTTCCCATCAGTGGGTCTAACTCATCATGTGGCCTCCACCCTACACCACCTAGTTCCAGGTTCGTTTTCTGGTCTCTGTCCTCTGGAGTCCCTGGAATTGTGTGTTCGGTTGTGGGCAGAGAATTGCCCAAACCCTATGAAATAAGAAAACACCTAGAACAGACGTAGGGAGACACTATGATCTCAGCAGTTTCCTGAGGAAACTGAGGCCCAGGAGCTCACCAGGGGCCGGGCAGCTAGATTCTGGCCGAAAGTCACCGGGATCCCAGCCCAGCGCTTCCCCGCAGACTACGCAGGCCCGACGCCGGAGCCGGGCTGACCGCGGACACAGCCCCGGGAGGAGGCCGGGGACGGGGCCGGGGTCGGGGCCGGGGCCAGGCCGCCCACCCGGAGTTGGGGGCTTTTTGCTTTTCTCACCGCGATGACTTTCCGGAGCGTGCGGGCTGCCACCCCCCACCCCCCCCCCCGCCTCCTCGCCTCCTCGCCTCCTCGCCTCCTCGCCCGCCCCGGGATGCCGCGGGGCCGCGCCTGGGCCCGGCGGGGGCGCACAGGGGCCCGGGCTCCCCGCCTCCCCGCCAAGGTCACCTCCACCGCGGGGGCGCCGCGCCCGGCCGCCCGCCCGCACTCACCGAGCCCGCCGCCGAGAGCCTGGGCCTGCAGCCTGCGAGCGCGCCGGGCCCCGCCAGCGCCGAGCCGAGCAGCCACCCGGGCTTCCCGGAGCCGCCCCGCGCCTAAGTACCGCCCGCCCCGCCCCGCCCCGCCCCGCGCGCCCGCCCCGCCCCGCGCGCCCGCCCACTCGCCACGTGATCGCCGCCGGCCCCGGCCCGCCCGGCCCCGCACCCCGCCGCCTCCGCCCCGGCCCCGCTCCCCCTCCGCCCTCCGCCCTCCGCCCTCCGCCCTCCGCTCCGGCCCCTCACCCCGCCCCCTCCACCCCCCCCTACCCCCGCCTCGCACCCTCCGCCCTGCACCCCTCCGCCCCGCACCCGACCCCCTCCGCCCTCCGTCCCGCCCCGGACCCCTCTGCCACCCCTCGCACCCTTACCCTGGCCCCGCATCGCCTCCACCTTCCGCCACCCCCGCCCCCCTCCGCCCTCCGTCCCGCACCCCTCCGCCCTCCACCCCGCACCCCCTCCGCCCTGCACCCCTCCGCCCCGCACCCAGACCCCCTCCGCCCTCCGTCCCGGCCCCGGACCCCTCCGTCCCAGCCCTGCACCCCCTCCGCCCCGCACCCGCACCCATCTGCCACCGCCTCGCATCCCTTAGCCCTGGCCCCGCAACCCCTCCACCTTCCCCCCCCCCGCCCCCCTCCGCCCTCCGTCCCGCACCCCTCCACCCTGCCCCTGCACTCCCTTCCGCCCTCCTCGCCCCGCCCGCACCCCGCACCCCCTCCGCCCGCACCCCAGGCACCTACGCCCCCACGGACCCTGCGCACGCCTCTGCTCCCGGAGATCCCGCTGGGGTGGGCTTGGCCCGGGGAAGAGGGACTCGGAGCCTCGGGCCAGTGGGGAGCGGAGGGGAGATGAAGGTGGCCCGAAGGGTCTCCATCCAACCTGGAGAGAGCCCCAGGGGCCGCCGCCGCCTGAAAGCAGCGGTTCAAAGCCTGCGGGATCCCTGCTTGCAGGAGGGGGTGACTGTCCCTTATTTCGTCCATTCAGAAACCACCGAGTTGGGGGTATCATGATAGCAGGCCTCCCAGGGGAGCCTTTAAAGGCTCCTTTAGCGATGATATTCTAAGAACGTGCCTATAAAAGTCTCCAGTTATGTAATAATAAATGGGTCTGACTTTCAGGACCTGCTTCAGGATTTCTATAGAGAAGGACCTTAGGGGCAGAAATCCGTTTGGAAGAGGGGTCCCAATAGGCCTGTCCTAAAGGGACAGTATTTTACTTGGAGTTTATTTGGGAGTGCTTACAGACGATGGTGGGGTGGCTCAAGACTCACTATCTCCATGAATCCCCGTGTTTCGAATCCTTCTGACAACTTTGCAACGTTGGTATGATCCCAGTTTTTCTTCCAGAGGCTCAGGAAAGTCTAGTATTTCATCCAGTTGCTTTTGGTAATAATAAGAAAGCTATAGGCCTGGTGGACTCCCAGAGGCCCTGGTGATGTAGTTTTTTGTTTTTGTTTTTTGGGTTTTTTTTGAGTAGTTCAGTCCGGAGACAGCAGACAAGAATTCTTGAGATATCTTTGGTGCAAAAAAAGTGATATTAAAGCATGGAGACATGACCTGTGAGGACAAAGAGCTGCTGCCCCAGGATTGTGGGGAGCTAGCCAGGGTTGGGTGAAGTAAAGAAAAGGGAAGTTTAAAAGGACTTTCAAATGCTAAAGAAGACTCTTTTTTTTTTCTTTAAGATTTATTTATTCATATGAGAGAGAGAGAGGCAGAGACACAGGCTGAGGGAGAAGCAGGCTCCATGCAGGGAGCCTGATGTGGGATTTAATCCCAGGACTCCAGGATCTCGCTAAAGAAGACTCTTGGATTCCTGGAGGCCTTGCTATTGTCAGGCTAAGATTATTTTTCCCTATGGCAAAACATTGACGTTAAGACAGCTGGGAGCTTCCTGGAGGAATGTTCTACTCTGCGGATCCCAATATGGGCTGCAGGTTATAAGGCCATTTAATTTTTCCTGCATTTCCTTCTGTCTTTGTTTCCCACATCACTGGCTACTATCTGCTGCATCTTGCAGATACCTGGCCGCCAGGTGTCACACAGTCCCTGCGCCTGCCGGGGCACATCAGAGAGCTGTCTAGACACATGTACCTCTTTGGTCCCAATTAAAGAAAGGAGTCAAGATGGCCCCACTGCAAGCTTACCCAGTCATATCTTGAGAACCATGGACTCAGGCTGCAAATCAGTGTTTTGACATGTCCTCTCCCACATGGTGTCAATCATTTTCAAACCCAGTAATGGAGCTTATAAAAGGAAACCCAAATGGGGAGGACACACAGATGACCATGGGAAATCTCTCCTCATCGTAACAGGAGTGCTGAGTACTTTACATGATCTCTCTCTCTCTCTCTCTCTCTCTCTTTTTTTAAGATTTTATTTATTTATTCATGAGAGACAGAGAGAGAGAGGCAGGCTCCATGCAGAGAGCCTGATGCAGGACTTGATCCCAGGACCCCAAGATCACACCTGGAGCCCAAGGCAGACACTTAACCGCTGAGCCACCCAGGCGTCCCACATGATTTCTTTTTTATGAAATTTTGAATGGGTGTCATTGTAGAGATAGATTATCACTTTTGAAATAACAAGAGAAATAAACAAGTACAACTTCAGTAGAATGTAACCCTTCCTGCCTTAGCTAGGAATGCTTCATGGAGAAAGGAACGCACCACATAATTTGTTTATTCTCGAAGCCCTCACTGGATCTTAAACTCCAGGATTTTTGCCTATAGTTAAAAAGAAAGCCCAAAGTAGAGTTGTTATGTGATTGCAGGGTTCTTGTCTCACGGAGTCCAAGAATGAATCTCACAGAGAAGTGAGAATTTATTAAGTGAAGATGGGAGCAGAAAGGAAAAAAAGAAGCTCTCTAGCGTGAGAGGGGCCCTGCCGTGTGGGTTGCCACTGGGCTTTTACTGGCAGTCTTGTATTGAGAACTGACCAGGAAGCTTGTGGCCTTGACTTTTTTGTGCGGGCTTGGTTTGAGCAAGGACTATTGATAACATCCTTAATGGCCTACTTCTTCTTTGAGGTCTGGTTGTTTTCTGTGATTACAAGGTAGCTCACAAAAAAAAAAAAAAAAAAAAAAAAAAAAAATACTTCCCAGCCTTCCCATTTAGGGCTAGGTGGTCTAGTTTATTCCCTTATCTTGGGTTTTGTCCACCTCAGCATTTTTCCACATTTGGGATTTCCACTCCCCTGTGGAGCCTAGTTAGAGGAGTCAGGGGCCTCCCATCTCCCCCTGCCTAAACCCTAACCCTTTCCTTACTCAGAGTCACTTGTCCCCAGGATAGCAAGCCAAGACTTAAATGCAGCATCTGTCTTCCCAGGAATGGAATGTTAAGCCAATGAATCCAGAATTTCTGGTCAGCACCAATGAGGTAATCTGTCACATGGCCCTTTCTAACCTCCCCATTCCCCAAGGAAAATCACATTACCCACCTAATAAGACCTCCTGCCTTTCTGGCTAAGGGAAAGTAACCTTGCCTGGAACAGTGCTTTCTTTTGCTAATAACTTTTTGCCCCATCCTTTTCTCCATAATGCACAACTCCTCTGAGCTCCCCTTACTTGCCAGATGGGGTGATGCTAGTCAATTCATAAATTGTTTAATAAAGCTAATTAGATCTTCATATTAACTTGGTGGAACTTTGCTTTTTTTAAATTAATTTATTTTTTTAAAAAACATTTTATTTTATTTTTTAATTTATTTTTATTTATTTATGATAGTCACACACACACACACAGAGAGAGAGAGAGAGAGAGAGAGAGAGAGAGAGAGAGCGAGAGAGGAAAGACACAGGCAGAGGGAGAAGCAGGCTCCATGCACCGGGAGCCCGACGTGGGATTCGATCCAGGGTCTCCAGGATCCCGCCCTGGGCCAAAGGCAGGCGCTAAACCACTGCGCCACCCAGGGATCCCTTTTTTTTTTAAATTTATTCTTGAGAGAGAGAGATTGAGGCAGAGACACAGGCAGAGAGAGGAGCAGGCTCTTTGCAGGGAGCCCGACGTGGGACTCCAGGATCACAGCCTGGGCCGAAGACAGGTGCTAAACCGCTGAGCCACCCGGGCTGCCCGGAACTTTGCTTTTAAATGCTATGTAGTTCTTTCTGCCCACCCCCACCCCCACCCCCCAGCATGTAGCAGAGAGCCTGGCACCTAGTACAGAATGAATATTGAGTGAATGTCTCCACGCATGAAGTGGGCCTTGAAGGTTGAGTAGAATTTTGCCTTAACCTGCCAAGTTTGAGGTCAGGGTCTCAGGGAATGTTGCTCAGAGCTTGCAGAAGAGCCTGGACCTGTGGCAGAAGCCATTTGCCTGCCGAGCTTCTGGAAAGAGGCCTGGGTGTCTACTCAAAAGAGATGAAAACATATGCCTTCACAAAGACATGTGCTCAAATGGTGATTGTAGCATTATTTATAATAATCAAAATGTTACAGGACTTCCTTCTCCTTAAGGTGCCGGCAGTTCTTGGTTATACCACTTTGAAGAATGAAGAAGTAGACCAGACTAAGATGGTAAGCAGCAAAGTTTCAAAATTTATTGGTTGATAATAAAGTGATAGTACAAAACTCGAGAGAGAGGGGATCTGAGAGGGTTGCCATCCATGTTTGTAAGTCTAGGGATTTCTATGGGTTTATTGGAGGGCTATTTTAATCTGATTAACCCTCCCTGCACCTGTCATCCAACGCTTTTTGTCATCTATCACATGGGAAAGGGTGGAGGGCTCCTTCCAGGGTGGTGTAAAATCCTTCTGAGGGTGGTTTCCTCTTGGGTGCAGGGCATCATTGTCTCTGCCTGCCTTTTCTCCAATTTTCCTCCATCAAAAAGATGGAAAAACCCAATGTCCACACACTGATGAACAAAATGTCATACACCCATACAATTCATAAAAAGGAAACCCATTCATAAAAAGGAATGAAATACTTGGGCATGCTATAACATGGATAAACTTTGAAAACATTTATGCTAAGTGAAAGAAACCAGTCACAAAGGTCACATTTTTTCCATTTATACTTAATTAATTAAAATATAATGTATTATTAGTTTCAGAGGTAGAGGTCAGTG